GCGGGGGGTTATTTAAATCAGATGACCAGGGAAGGCTGGTTGATAAATGCTCTTTGAGCAGGGAGTTGAGGGATGTGAAGGAGACGCCAGCCATTATCTGGGAGAAGACCTTCCCGGCTTCCAGGTAGAGGGCATCGCAACTCCAGAGTTCACGCTTGGAAGGTACGCGGGTGAGTAAGGCCGGTGTGACTGAGCCAGGAGTAAGGAGAAGAATGGTAGAGGACGAGGTCAGGATGGGCCCTGCCAGTCAGGCTGAGGATGTCGGGGTTTACTCTGAGTGGAATGGAAAGCCGCAGGAGGATTTTATGGAGAGGTGCTCGGTGACCCAGTCGATGCTTTCACAGGACCTCTCTAGCCCCCATGTTGGAAATGGCCTGTGGGAGATTTGGGATAGAAGCAGAGAACTGTGAGGTGGCAGCTGCAGTCGGCCAGGTGACCGATGGTGAGACGCAGTCAGATCCGGATTATTGGTAGCACTTTGATGCACTGAGTTGTTGATGGATTGCATGCAGTATGGAGAAAGAAAGGGATTAAGAACAACTTAAAGATTTTTGACTTGAGCATCTTTTTTCTTAATTTGTTAAAGTTTATTTCTTTGTTTTGAGAGAGTGAGAAAGAGCACAAGCAGGGGAGGGGCGGGAGAGAGGATCCCAAGGAGGCTCTGCACTGTCAGTGTAGAGCCCCATGTGAGGCTAGATCCCACAACTGGGAGATCATGACCTGAGTCCAAATCAAGAGTCAGATGCTTAACCGACTGAGCCACACAGGTGCCCCTTGACTTGAGCACCTTGAAGAATGAACGAAGTGGCCACTCAGCGATTTGGGGACAGTTTTACAAGGAGCAGGTTGGGGAGGTGAGGTCAGCTTTGGTCAGGACATGTGCAACTTGAGATTCCCAGTTGGGGAATCTTGAGTTCAAGGTGAGCCATAGCTAGGAACTAGGAGTCCTCAGCTTAAAGACGCATCCACAACTGGGGGTAAATTCAAATGAAGAGGGGAAGTAATCTTGGGGCTGAGCCTGTGGCTCAGAGATGATGAGGACACGGCAAATGAGAATGAGCGGCCATCGCCATTGCAAGTGGGGTTTCCGGAACCCTAGCAGAAGAGGAGGCAATGACTATTTGGCATGTGCTAACCCTGGGTCGTGTGAGCCCGCTTTGCTTAGCAACACGGAGACCCTTGATGAGCTTACCAGAGCAAGTTCAATGGGTGGCCGGTGTGAAAGCCTGTCTGGAAGCGAGTTCTAGAGAGAAGGCAGGCACAGAATTAGAAAAACAGTGGGTATGGTCAGCCCACTCAAGGAGTTTTGCTGGAGGGAGGAGTGGAGAAATGGAGCTGGGGCTGTAGATATTGGTGAAGCACCTGCTGTTGGGCCAGAGCATACGGTGGTAAGACATAATCACTGTCCTCAGGAGCCCCAGGCTAGTGGCTCGCCCCTTCTGATAAGACTGTTTTTCCAGTCTTTACGTAGTTTATCCTTGTTAGTATTCTTTCAGTAATAAGATCCTAGAGACCTCATATTAGAAGTCCTCTTTCCAACAGGTCTTTTCTGAAAATGCTTTAGCAGAGACCGCATGTTTTATTTTTACCTACTTAGCCTGGGTCCCCTTTGGAATTAGCTCCTCATCAACAATCGTTATTTTAGAAGAGTGTTAGACCGCAAGTGCCAACTCTTTTCTTAATGGATTCAGTGTGTTCATAAATCATAGAATGTTTTGTTTAGGATGTAATTCAGAGAAAACACTCCGTCTATCTAGCCCCATTTACCAGCCTCATCTCTGGCAGGTAGGTAGCCCAATTAGTGTTTGTGAGATTCAGTGGTTCTATTTTTTTTTTTTTTAATGTTTTAACGTTTATGTATTTTTGAGAGAGAGACAGACAGAGCATGAGCAGGGAGGGACAGAGAGAGAGGGAGACTCAGAATCCGAGGCAGGCTCCAGGCTCTGAGCTGTCAGCACAGAGAGCCCGACTGAGGGCTCGAACCCACAAACCGTGACATCATGACCTGAGCCCAAGTCGGACGTTTAACTGACGGAGCCACCCGGGTGCCGTCTTTCTTTCTATTTTTTCATCCATTCACTCATTCCCTTAAGGCTTCTATTGTGTCACTATTATTTGTCAGTTACCCTGTTTTAGGGGCACAGCAATGAAAAGGCTCACATAGAGTTTACGTTCTGAGGAGGGGGAGGTCAGTAAACAAGTGAATAGTCAAATAAAACAGATTCCCAGGACAAGTAAGAGGGATTTAAGGGCAACCCTCATCACAGAGTTGCTATTGTCTGTCCTGCGAGCCACAGCAAAATTGTCTTAAATAGATATTAAAGTCTTCCCCGTCTTATGTAAGTGGGAACAAAAGCTTCCTATGAGCGGCAGAATAATGACCCCCACATATGGGCCACGTCCTAATCCCTGGAACCTTGCATGATAAAAGGAATGGTTCAGTTGTGATTATGTTAAGGCCTTTGAGATGGGGAGATTACCTTGGATTACCGAGGTGGGCCCACTGTAATCCCAAAGGTCCTTATGACGGAGAAGCAGGAGGGTCAGAGTCAGAAAGGAGCCGCGGCGACATAAAGGGAGGTTGTGTAGCCAAGGAGTGTGGGCAGCCCTGGAAGCCGGAAAGAGGAGGGAGCAGATTTGGCCTGGCTCCTCCGGAAGGATTACAGACCTCCCCACACTTGGATTTTTAGCCCCCACAGACCCACTTTCAGACTTCTGACCTACCAAACTGTAAGATACTGAAGTTGTGTTGGGTTAAGCCTCTAGGTTTGTGATAATGCGTTGCAGCAGCAATAGGAGACTATATATAGGAACAGAAATGTGTAGCAGTTGGAAACTCTGTGTGTGTACATACGTTCTTGGAAAGCTGCTATTTTCACGGATCCGGAGCGATGGCATGAAGTGGCGCACTGGCTATAAATTCAGACACTCTGGCCACCCTTCCCGATCCACTTGCGGTCTGTTAGCCCACGCTTCACAGAAATTGTGGGGTTGCCACCATTATTTCGGATGATGGCAAACAGTCCGAAAGAAGCGTAAGAGGGTAAGGCAATGGCAAGTGACTGCGTGCCCAGAGAAGGCTTCTTTGAGCAAATGACATGCGATCAAATGACATAGGAGCTGCCACTGAAGGCTGAGAAGGAGCCCGCACGCAGAGTGTTTCAGGTGGACGCGATGCCCGGGACGGAGGTCCTGGGGTGAGATGACCTGGTCTGTTAAGGAGTAGCCGGAGAGGAAAAGGTAAAATGGTGGTAGGTGATGTCGAAGAAGTACGCAGAGACCCTTCACGCAGGGTCTGCCCGGTGATTGAGGAGTTCAGATGTTCTCAGTGCGGGGGGAAGGCCACCTGAAAGTCTGGCACGACACAGCTTGCTTACATCTTGCACACTTGGCTTCTGGGTGGAGAACGGCTTCTGGAGGGCAACGATGGTACAGACGAGAGAGTCTGTGCCGGCCCGACTAGGGGGGGTAGCCAGAGGGGTGGACGGGTTCAGGATGGGGGTTAAGGCGGAGCTGAGGCGATGTGAGGTTTGGAGGGAAGAGAGAAGAAGCAAGCGTCGCTCCTGGGGCTGGGGAGCAACGGCGGGGTGGGGTGCGGTGGGCCCTGAGTCGGGAAGGCCCAGGAGCTCAAGCCAAGGAGCAGGTAAGTTACACCAGCGTGGAACCAGTAAGCCCTGAGGTTTCGAATAACGTAGACGGTCCGTGCTGCGGGTCTGCAAATCCCGTGTGCTGAATAGCATAGTTTTATATAATCACAACACGGGAAAATGCCAGTTGTTGAGCAAGAAGGAGATTTAAAGAGTTATTTCAGACTGTGACTTACTTGAATAAGGACACCTCCAAACCATCCCTAAAAATAAACGTAAGACCGTTGCATGAAGAAAAAACAGAATCCCGGAGGAGAAGATTTTCTGTTCTGATTCGTCGTTTCACTGCATGTACAGTCAGGAAGGTCTTCATTATCTGTCCTCGTCCCTTCATAAGTTAAAACCAAAAGTGGACAGTGTGGAAAGCGGAATAATGGCTATTTTCTTAAATCTCCTCATGGAGTTGAAATGGTTATGGAAACTCTTGCGCGAACTTACGTAAAACAGCGGGTACTTGTAACCATTTGCGTGCACGTGTACATTCTGATCTTTCTTGGAAGTAGGTGAATACCAAGGAAATTTATTATAGGCAAAAAATTACGGTGGTGGGTATCTCGACAAGAGCCTTTTTAATTCTGAGTAATTTAGCGACTGTAGAAAGACGTGGCTTAATAATTTGACTTAACAACTAAGTAATTGGATTTTATTTATTTATTTTTTTAATGTTTATTTATTTTTGAGACAGAGAGAGACAGAGCATGAATGGGGGAGGGGCAGAGAGAGAGGGAGACACAGCATCGGAAACAAGCTCCAGGCTCTGAGCCAGCAGCCCAGAGCCCGACGCGGGGCTCGAACTCACGAACCGTGAGATCGTGACCTGAGCCGAAGTCGGACGCTCAACCGACTGGGCCACCCAGGCGCCCCTGTAATTGGATTTTAAAAAGACATACAGGTATCAGCTTGATTTTCCACCCACTGAGTCCTTTAAAAAGTTGATTACTTGATTATTTTAGGTTAATGCTTCCATTCTAAGTTTAACTGTGCAGAATTTTGAAAGTTGAATTTATTGATTAAAATCTGAAAATGTGGCCACTGGATTTCAGATGTATTTGCCATAGCTAAACTATTTTGCAAGCTTGAAACAGTGACCTGTTTCAAAGTAATGTTCAGTTCTTTTTAAAAGTCATTTTCATTCTAGAAATTTATTATTGGGGTAGAAGGTGTTATTTTGTTGGACTTTTAGTAAATCAGTATTGACAAACATGTTCTCTGTTTCTGTCTGTCTCTCTCCCTCTCTCCCCCTCCTTCGTCTCCTCCCTCTCTCCTTCTCTCCCTTTCTCTCTCTCCTCTGTCTCTCTCCCTCTCCCCCCCCCACCCCGCCCCATCTCCCACCTTCCCCCTACGGCATGGCAGATGGTCCGTGAACAGTACACTACAGCCACAGAAGGCACCCACGTGCAGAGGCCAGAGAACCCGTGTGTCTACAAAATTGGCATTTATGGCTGGAGAAAACGCTGCCTCTACTTATTTGTTCTCCTTTTACTCATCATCCTCCTTGTGAATTTTGCTCTCACGATTTGGATTCTTAAAGTGATGTGGTTTTCCCCAGTAAGTATCGTCTTCCTTTCCTGGCAAGCATGTTCTTCTTCTGTTTGTTGGATCACTTTATCCATATTGAATCGGTAGAAGCCTCCTTTAGCGTCATTGACGTTTGTTTCTGTCTGGATCAGGATGGTCTCGCGGCAAAATACTCGTACTTTTTCTTTCTTTAATGTTTATGTTTGAGAGAGCGCAAGCGAGGGAGGGACAGAGAAAGGGGGGCAGAGGATTCGAAGTGGGCTCAGCGCTGACAGCAGCCAGCCCCGTTTGGGGCACCGGCTCCCGAACCATGAGATCGTGACCTGAGCCGAAGTGGGATGCTGAACCCACTGAGCCACCCAGGCGCCCGCATACTCTACTTTTTCTTAATTTCACTATGAACTATAGTGTTTTGGGTTTTTTGTTTTGCTGTTGCAATTTTTTTTTATTAGTCATTATGTCTACACGTGAGAAAATGGTGCCAATCTTGGGTTTGAGTCAAAATTGTGTAATGATTATTCAATAATTTGTAAAATTTTATGAATCCTGTTTTCCTAATCTCATTAATCCGTAAATAATAACCATCCAGATGCTACCCTCTCATTTGCTTAAAAAACTTTACTTTAGGGGCGCCTGGGTGGCTCGGTCGGTTAAGCATCCGACTTCAGCTCAGGTCACGATCTCACGGTCCGTGAGTTTGAGCCCCACGTCGGGCTCTGTGCTGACAGCTCAGAGCCTGGAGCCTGTTTCCGATTCTGTGTCTCCCTCTCTCTCTGCCCCTCCCCTGTTCATGCTCTATCTCTGTCTCACAAATAAATAAACGTTAAAAAAAATTTAAAAAAAAACTTTAAAATACGATAAATTAATAAATTCATGCACAGCTTCATGCTTCAACACTTAGCAACACATTTAGTAGATGAATTACCAGTAGTCCTAAGGAATTCATATTCTATTTTACACATCCTCATGTTTTCTAGATTGTTGGGTAATGTTGTATGCTCTGATGATATTTTTGTGTACTTTTTGAAAAAATATTCATTTAATATAGAATATCTAGTTTTTGCTAGATAGTCACGGTGGCAAAAAACACTGCAATGAACATCACCTGTAGGTTTATCTGTTCCTCGCATGCATCTTGAAGGTGTGAAATAGGCAAGGACTCTCTCCAAGAACAGTAGTTGTAGCTTTCAGTGTGAAATGCCTTCCGCTGATGACTCTCTTTCTCTTTCTAGGCAAGTATTTCCTTCCTGCCACTGCTCTGTGGCCAGTAGGCACATTATTTATTTCGTTGACCTAAATAAATATTTACATTTTCATGTATTCAAAGAAGTAATATACCAACCCAATCAAAATATGCCTTAAGGGGCACCTGGGTGGCTCAGTCGGTTAAGCGGCCGACTTCAGCTCAGGTCATGATCTTGCGGTCTGTGAGTTTGAGCCCCACTTCAGGCTCTGTGCTGACAGCTCGGAGCCTGGAGCCTGTTTCGGATTCTGTGTCTTCCTCTCTCTGACCCTCCCCCGTTCATGCTCTGTCTCTCTCTGTCTCAAAAATAAACAAACGTTAAAAAAAATTTTTTTAATGCCTTAAAATATGTTATTTAATATAAACATTATACATTGTTATTATAAATTATATTTAACTATTAAAAATACCTAAATATATTTAAATTAGCCAAACAGAAGTAGTCATTTCTTCTTTAAAATTTACAAAAACAATATTTTTACGCTATCACAATAGTATTTTGTTCCATTGGACACCTTTATTAATGTGTCGTACATCATCTTCATTTTATCCATAAATTAAATTTTTTAATGTTTGTTTTTGAGAGAGAAAGAGAGCACGAGTGGAGGAGGGGCAGAGAGAGAGGGAGACACAGAATCCGAAGCAGGCTCCAGGCTCCGAGCTGTCAGCCCAGAGCCCGATGTGAGGCTCGAACTCACAAACCGCGAGACCATGACCCGAGCTGAAGTCAGATGCTTAACTGACTGAGCCAGCCAGGACCCCCTCTAAATCTAAATTTTTTATTTTAATATTTTGGGGACAGTTAACTGAGGTTGGAGTCCTCAGATGATATACTGTGGGATCTCTCGGATGCCTCCTGACTAGAGGGCCCTCCACTCACATGCAGTGCGCCCTTCAGTTGTGCGGAATGTGGACAGAAAATTTACCAGGGAGGCCAGATTTTAATAGTCCCTTGGCATCAGGGACCGTGAGTTCTGTCAATCATCTTGGCACATGCTTAGCACTCAGTAAATATATCCTGAATGAATAAAGGTGTGCCTTATATTAGAAATGTGTGTGAATTAATTTTATAGACTGTATGTGAATGTAAAGTGACAGTGTATCTACCTTGTGCTCTTGCCTTATATTGTAGCACTGAACACAAGTTTTGGGCGTTATAGATTTTGACTACATTAACCCAAATTGTGCCAGCAGCTGAGTCCACTTCAAGTTACAATGGCTAACCCCAGAGACCAGCAAATGTTTCCTTGGCATTGCTGCCCCGTTCCTAGCCCACACTTTCTCGCGAGATACGGTCAGCACGCATGGCATTTTCTTCGACATTCAGGAACCTGTTGCTAATTCAGGGTGCTTCCGTGCTGCCTTTCAACAAAATAAGGTGAACAAACACACGTTCATGGATCAAAAGGCAAGATGCACAAAAAGATTATTCTGCAGAAAGTGCCAGGGTTTGACCGAATGACGATGGGTAGACTTTAGGTCATTCTCCTCAAAGTGAGATGCTATAAATGATATAGTTCTCATCTGTGGGTGAGCTTAATCCCTTGCTTTGGAAATACTCCCTACATACTATAAGTTAATTTATCCTTTCATTTTTTTCCTAGTTTGAAAGATTTCTCTGTATAGAAGATTGCAGTTTTGTTTTTATTTTATTCATCTGTAAACTAATATCCTTCCTTGAATACATACATGCCAAGGAAGTAACAAGACTATAAAAGAACCCTTTCATGAGCTTTGGCACCAAAATGATAAAATCAGCTAGAGCTCTCAACATTTGCAGAAAGCTATAGAATTTTTAACATGCAGCAGCTAGTTTCTAATTCTCTACCTGAATGCAGTCACCTACACAGTCATTAGTCTCGATAGACTGAAAACCATAACTTCCCAAATTAGCAAAGTTTAGAAGACTTTCTCTGCTTAGATCCCCCGTGGGTAGGTAGCAATGGAAGGTTTATTATCTTACATATGCGATCATTCCAGTCCCCTTGTCCACTCTTCATACTTTAATATTTCTCTATAGAAAACAGTAAAATCAACTATGGGTAATATATTTAAAAATGCCAAGATCAAATTATGGGGGAAGACAAGTAAAACATTACCAAATGAAAACACAAGGATGTCAAAGAATATCGAGACCTCAAACAGAAGTTAAGTGTTGACAAGGGAACTAATCTGAACTCAGTGAAACCAAGCCTTTAACAGCCTTTATGTGCCCGACACGCATCACAAAGACCCCAGATCGTGAGTATCTCACCAATGAGTTCCACTCTTAGCACTGTAACTTCGTGTGGGAGAATTTTACATAATTGCCACGTATGACATCTGTTGAATATAAAATAATATCAGGACATTGTAGCAACTGATGCTAACCATAAAGGTTCTAGAATATTTTGTGTTGGCCACGATCATAACTAAATCAGTTAGGAATGTGGACATTAAAAGAAATCAGTGCAATAAAGTGGCTAATTCCGTTTTTCCTTTTTATACTTTCCTTCCATAAAACTAATATACAATATTAGTTTTAGTTCTAGTGTGCATGGTTATAAAATGACATCCATGAGTCTTATCAGTAAGTATGTCAAAATAGGGCATCTTTAATTTTTAATGACCCGCATGGATTTTTTTAAACCTTTATGGTTATTTATTTATTTGTATATAAAATATTTTAGTGCATTCAATGAATGTAATTTTAACAAGATAAGATGAAAGAATCCAAGCTTAAAAAGAAAAAAAAAAAAAACACTAACCCTGGAAGTTAAATTTCTTTAGGTACTTTTTATTTGGGGGTAAAAAAGGATATAAACAATCAGAGCAGAATTGTAGTATTGAATATCAGAATTAAGCTTATAGTTCTATATTGGTTCTTGACCCTCTCAGGAGCTACCCGGGTGAATCTGAAATTGGCCCCCAAACACGAAGGTTGGTAGGTGACAGTTTTTTGTGTTTTTTAAAAATTATTATTTACTTATTATTTTTTTAATTCCAATATAAGTAACATCCTGTGTTATATTAGTTTCAGTAACCTGTAAGTAACCTGTAAGGCACTTTTCAGACTCAACAGTTACGCACATTACACAGTGCTCATCACATTGAGTGTATTCTGGATCCCCTTCCTCCATTACACCCATCCCCCTGCCCACCTCCCCTCCCGTAACCGTCTGTTTGTTCTGCATAGTTAAGAGCCTAGTTTTCGGTTAGTTTCTGTTTTTCTCTGCTCGTTTGTTTTGTTTCTTAAACGGCACATATGCGTGATATCGTATGGTATTTGTCTTTCTCTGACTGACTTATTTCACTCAGCGTGATACCCTCTAGATTCATCCATGTTGTTGCAAATGACAAGGCCCCGTTCTTTTTTATGCTGAATAATATTCCCTTGTATGTAGCACATCTTCTTTGCTCTTTCACCCATCAGTGGACCCTTGGGCTGCTTCCATGTCTTGACTATTATAAATAATGCTGCAATAAATGTAGGGGCACATATACCTTTTCAAATTAGCGTTTTCCTTTTCTTTGGGTGAACACCCAGTACTGGAATTGCTAGATCGTATGGTGGTTCTGTTTGCAATTTTTTGAGGAAACTCCATACTGTTTTCCACAGGGGCTGCACAATTTTGCATGATCACCAACAGCGCAAAAGGGTTCCCCTTTTTCCACACCCTCGCCAACATCTGCTGTTTCCTGAGTTGTTAATTTTAGCCACTCTGACTGGCGTGAGGTGGTATCTCAGTGTGGTTTTGATTCGTATTTCCCTGCTGAGGAGTGACGTTGAGCATCTTTTCATGTGTCT